CTCTCCGAGAGCAGCTGCTCCTTGCTCCTCTCCAGGTCACGGATCTCCCGGGCCAGTCGCTGCTCCAGCATCTGCGAGGACAAAGAGGCCTGCCGGTCTGGCTTTCCTCTAGGCTACACGGCCCGCCCCTCTCCCTTTGTGCTTCTCGCTAAGTCTTCAGCTGCATTAGGTCATTCATTCATTCATTCAACTATTTGTTAACTCAATGTGCTGTTTCTGCTGTGGCTGGAGACCCACCCACCTCCCCCTAACTGCTCTCCATGTTTCCAGAAACTTATCAAACTTGAACTCTTCCCACTGTCCTCATCCTCCACTCCCCAGTCTGCGTTCCTCAAAGGTTTCAGGCACAGTCCAGCCTCAGGGCCTTTGCTTCTGCACCCAGATACCTGCACGGTTTCTTCCCTCACTTCCTTCACCACTGAGTTGAGATGTCACTTGCTTAGAGGCCTTTCCACTGATGTTCCACGATCTAGCCACTTAACTTCCTTTGTTGGAGTCTGGGTATGTCCCCACTGTCCCTATCCAGCTCGGGACAGTAAAGACGTGGCCCCTTTGGTCTGCCACCCACTCTCCCTGCCTCAAATGCTGCCTGGTGCAGCCATTGACAGTAGCTGAATGAAGGAATGACCTGATCGTGGCTTTCTCTGGGCTGCCATTTGTCACTACAAGGTGAACATACTCTAGGTGAGCAGGGGGAAAGCAGGATCACAATGGCTACTGCACCCGTCTAGGCAGGTGATGCTGGTTTTGGCAGTGGAGGATGGTGAGATGTAAGCTGATTTCAGATAAAAGCCAAGGGACTGAGTAGGTGGGCAAGAGGAAGCAAGGAATCAAGGACTATCCCGCGGCATTGGGCCTGGGCAGGGGTAAACACTGGGACAGTCAGTGGGACACTAAAGCCAGGGGAGGAGTGGCTTTGGCTGGAGGCGATAATAACTCACATGGAATTCCCAGAGGTCCTTGTGCTGGCCCATCAGATCCTCCAGCTCTCCTTTGACATCCAACCTGGAGGCCGACACCCAGGAATGAGAGAATGAACACAGGCTAGGCCTTACACCCTGAAGGGAGCTCCTCATGCACAGGCCTTCAGATCCTGTCCATGCTCTCGGTGCTTGGAGCCCCTTCATGGGTTTTATCCTCGAAGTTCTGTTATCCTGTAGCACCTCTTCCAACAAAGTCTCCCTGATGCAAGCCCTGCCCCCACTTTCTATACAGTGGCTTGCCAGGCCCCAGGCTTGGGAGTTATCCCACATTCCTCTGTTTGGGACTCTGAAATCTGAAAGGTATGGACAAAACTTTGTTCAATGCACTCTTGCAACATGTGCATCTTGGGAAGGGAAAGAAAACCCTCAGTCAAATTCACGGAATGACCCATCATTCACTCCAGTAGGAGTGGGAGTTGGGATATCTGCTCACAACATTCACCTTTCACTTTTCTCCTGTTCAATGAGAACCTTCATGGGCTTCTGTTGAGAACATCACCCTGTCCATCCTGTCCCCCATGGAATGAACCCTGGCTTCCCAAGAAAGCTTTGTGAGGGGTGTAGTAGTTTAGCACCACAGATTCTAACATCCTGGCTTGAAGCCTGATCTGCTACTTCACTGTGACCCTGAGCAAGTTACTTAACTTCTCTGGGTCTCTGTTTCCTCATATGTAAAATAGTGGTAGTGATGGGAGGGTGACATTAGCCTTTAACTCCTATAATTGTCATTGTGAGGATTAGGTACATAAATGCTCATCAGACAGTGTGAGTAGTGTGGTTTGGTATACACACATTAGCTAACATCAGGTTTCCCCATGCAATTAAAGTCATGGTGCACCGGGATGTGAGACCTCTGGTAACAGGAATGTGCTGAGTAAAGGTTCAGAGGATGAAGAGATGGATGAATACGTGGTTGGACGTACAGTTGATTGGATGTGTGAGTTGCTGGCTGGAGAGACGATAGCTGATTAGAGAAATGATGAGCGGAGGAATAGTGGCTGGAGAGAGAAACAAAGGATTGCTAGAAGAAAGGATTGATGTCTGGATGGTTGAGTGAAGAAATGAATGGCTATGGGAAGAAGAGAGAGAGGATGAATGCATGATTGGATAGATGCAAGATTATTAGGTGGAAGGCTGGAGATAAAATGGCCATCTGGATGGATGATAGAGTTGGGTAGTTGGATAGATGGATGAATGAGTGAGTAGGTGAATGGCTAGATGGGTGGTAGATGAATGGGTGGCAAAGGGATGACTGGGGCCTAAAATAAGCAGACAAATAATCAAGTGCATGGGTACTGAAGGAGCTGGACAGCCAGCAGAGAAAGACAGACTAACACCAGTGGATGGAATATTATTTGATGAAGGAATTAGTAATGAATAATTAAATGAGTAAATTAATCTTAACATGACCATTTAATATCAGAGATAACCAAGGAAGCCTTTTGTCTAGCTGCTCTATTTTATAGAAAGAGAAAATGAGTCATGTCCAAGATTCATTTCCATAGCTCTTGCTCCCTCCTTTTTCAGTTGGGGAATGAGGTGGGGAAGAGCTGAGGCAGGGCCTCTTACCTCTGAGCCTCACTTTCCTTCTCTTGGCAGTGCAGCTGGAGGATCCTCAGTGCCTCTGTGGGGAAGGAATCAAGGAGACCCTTTGAAAGCTCTTGGGGAGTCAGGGTTGACTAGAGGTAATGGGCCCCACATCATGTCAGGCATCGGAGGGCACTGGAAGACCTGGGTGTTTACTCCAAGTAAGGTAGCAACTCAGGGAGAGATCTGTGCAGTGAGAGAAGCTTCCCCCTGACTTAGGGTTCAGTGGGATTCCTCTGGCTGCTCTGAGGAGTATGGACTTTTGTGGGGTGGATGAGTAGAATAAGGAAGACACAGCAACTGGTAAATACCTCGCTTTTTGCTCAAGACCTCCTCTAGGTGCACCTTCTCTCCATTCACTAGAAAACACAATGACACTTTCAGCCTCCAGGTCCCCCCATCCCCATCTCCATTGCAACTTCATGTAAGGGGAAAGTCACACAGATGGTGTAGTACAGCCCCAGGAGACGTGAGGTATCTTCTTGCCTCCCTTGCAACCATCTCCCACAAGGACCAGCTTCTCCCCCACATGCCCACATTCCTTGTAAGTGCTAAAGGAGTGAAGACCCTGAAGAATGTACAAGGTTTACACTGAGGAGAGAGATGATGTACACACACCATGTCAGGTGGACATAAAGGCTCCTAAGAAACAAATCAGGCAGGGGAGTGAGAATGACCAAGAGAGGGCAGGATTCCATTCTTAGATGAGACCATCTAGATAGGCCTGTCAGGGTGAAGTTTGAGCTGAGAGCTGAAAGATGGCATGAGACAGTGAGAGGCAATACAGATTGTGTGGGTTAAGAGCATTGTAGGCAAGGGAACAGCCTGTGCAAAGGCCTTGAGGTGTGTACAGGAACATCCGCAGTGTTCATGGGTCCCTCTTTAGCCCCACTTACAGGAGTCTAATTCCCTATGCAGGGCCTCCTGGAGAGTGCGGGTGTCTCTCAGTTCCTCACTGGATTTCTTTTTTGCTAGACCAAAGAAGGGAAGAAAACACTGTGTGAGTGTGGTCTGTAGCCCTGCTGTTCACTTGCAGATATGGCATTGCATATTCATCTGCAAACAGCCCTAGAGGGGCCTAGGTTTTATAGATGAGGAGGTCGATTAATTACAAATCCAGGCCCTTCCTGCTGGCCCCTGCTGGCCAGTCTAGGTCCCCAAGTTTTTACCTTGCTGACGCTCATTAATCCGGTTAATCATGTCCTCTATCTGTGGCTCCAGGCTTCCCTCTGAAGAAAGAAAAGAAGCAATATTGACCCAGAGAAGACTGTGTCTGACTGTCCAAGGCAGATGGAGAAGCACTGTGTCTGCTCCTATCAATTAATAGGCATATACTGAGCGCCTGCTGTGTGTTGAGCTCCGTTAGAGCCCCTTGAAGGGCTTACATTCTGGGTTGGAGAGATGGACATTGAGCAAACAAATAAATGAATTCAGATGGAAGTAACTGCTGTGAGGAGAAATAAAGCGAGGCAAAGTGTTGAGGAGCAAAAGGGTAAAAGGCATGTCTCGAGATATGGAAAGAGGAGAGGGAAGCAGGCCCTGCAGCGTGTGGGGGTAAAGAGTGTGGAGGGGGGACCCATTCCAGGTAGAGTACAACAAGGCAGAAGGAACAAGTGCAAATTCCTTGCAGCAGGAGCCACTGAGGCACATGTCCAAAGTCACAGTGATGGGCTGGTGTGGCTCAAGTCTAGTGAGCAGGTAGAGAGGAGCAGAAGGTGAGGTGGGGTAAGTGGGAAGTGATACCACTCAGGGCATCTTGGGCCATCGTGGAAGCCTTCAGATGTAACTCTGAGTGTGGCGTGAGCCAAGTGAGACGTCCCATCTGCCCCCCTCTGTCAAAAGCCAGGTGGGAAGGGTTGTCAATCTGTCAGTCTGGACTCTGGTACTGGCCTCATCTGAGAAATGAGGAAACAATGCTTTTACACTGATGGTGGCGGCTTGCAAGTTTCCCAGTGACAGGGTGATCACTGTCCCTTTAGGGAGTCACCTCTGACTTCTCATAATCCCTGCCTCAATGCTCTGTATGGAGAATTCCTTCTCATTCCTCTCTGGCTTCAAGGTTGGCAACACAGAACTGGGGCAAAAAGCTGCCCAGCCCTTGCCAGTATCACTGCCGAAGCCTCAGACACACTGAGGTTAATAAACTCAGGCCATGAGTTTTCCAAGGTCACCAACTCCAGCTTCTGTGATTTCCAGGAGAGTGGGTGATCTCCATGGTTCTGATTATGACTGAAAGAAGTCTCTGGGTGGGGGGTCTTTGTTTTACTGGAAATGATCAGTTTGGGTCACTGTATTTCTAGCCCTGCAATCTCTCCCTGATTTTACCCTAGGCAGCAGTCCCATGCACTTCTACTGCAGGCAGCCACAGAATGGGAGAAGGGGAGGCTGCTGCTTTTTTTTGGAATAGACTGATGTTATGCTATTTTGAGAATGGGCTGAGGGTCTAACCTCAAACCTGGCCAGCACTGCCTCAGCTCTGATGTAGGTACTGGGTGCACACTGGCTCCCGGTCTCCCACAAAAAGCAAAGCAAAGTGCAAAACCAACTGCATTGCCATTTGTATGTAAAAAGGGAGGACAAAAATATACGCCCATGAATGCATTTTTTGAAAATCTCTGGAAAGATACTTAAGAATTGAAAAACAATAGCTGCTTGCCTGTGAGTCAAGGAAATGGATGACGCGTATGTGAGGGGGGGGAAGTGGGGTGGGAGGGGGCAACTGGTTTTTCCATTCCTTTAAACTTCTTCAATTTTGAACTGTGGGGTTGTATTCTTGGTTCAAAGAATTAAGAGGGAGAAAGTGCAATGGGATAATTTCCCAAGGTTGCGAGTTGAGGGCGCTGAATTTGAACCACGTCTTTCCGACTTGAAACTCCAGGCTGAGGCACAAAAACAAAGAGACACATGACCTTTCTGCAGCTTTATCACCATTGCCAGCAAGTCTTCAGTCTTCAAAGACTTGGCTTGCCCTGTAGAAACGAAAACCAAAAATTACAGGACCCAATGAGAGTGAGAGGGGACAGAGAAGGGGTGTAGGAAGTCCCAGTGGGCTTTGCAGACACCCGTGGTCTGGGGCTAAGGATGGGATGAAGGACAGGTTTCTATCCAGAGCAGGGCCCCTGTCTCTTGCCCTTGAGGTTTATGGTGTGTGCTAGATAAATCGACCCCTAAGAGTCAGCTTCTCCCAGAGAGGTTAAAAGACGCCGTCACAAACATCCCCTTAATGACACTCAGGGGTGAGACTTTGCTGCTGCTTTGGTTTAAGATCCTTATGAAGTTCTAACCAGAGCAATAGGGCAGGAATATTTCATATGAATTTCTTTGAAATAATTATAGACCATAATTTATAAATTCTTAATGAACTGATAGATCTAGGTAACAGTTATTAATGGCTGCTAACATCAAAGAAAGACAACTAGATATTATGAGCCTCTTTTTTTTTTAATCTTGCAGCTCCAGCTCAAAGGATTTTTTTTGGAGATGGATTATCAGTCTGTCGCCCAGGCTGGAGTGCAGTGGCACGATCTCGGCTCACTGCAGCCTTTACCTCCCAGGTTCAAGTAATGCTCCTGCCTCAGACTCCCAAGTAGCTGGGATTATAGGTGTGCACCACCACGCCCAGCTAATTTTTGTATCTTGAGTAGAGACAGGGTTTCACCATGTTGGACCTCGTGATCCGCCCGCCTTAGTTGCCCAAAGTGCTGGGATTACAGGCGTGAACCACTGCATCTGGCTAGGATTTTTGTTTTTATTTTTAATATAGAGAGTTTATTTCAGCTAAATTTGAGGACTGCAGCTCAGGATGCACTTACAAGCTGCCTTGGGGAGTGATCCCTATGAGCCTCTAGAGGAAAGAACACAACACGGCCGATGAAGGATTTTTGCCCCAAAACCCCCATAAAAAAACAAAAAACCCTGATGGAATCTCATCAGGTTTCCACATCGAAATACTAATTTGGAGGAAATACAAAGGGCAGGAAAACACATTAAATCACCCCACTGGGGATGTGCTCAGCATCATGTGGACTGTGAGAAACTCCACAGGAAAACCTGGTTTCTTCAACAAATAAGTTGTAAAGAAGAAAATGAGGGAGAGGGAAAATCCTATAGATTAAAAAAGACTTGAGGCATTTATCAATCAATTAAATGAGCAGAACCTTATTTGAATCCTGATTCACCACACTTTTCACCATATATATTTCTATGTATATATGTATGTGTATGTGTGTGTGTGTGTATATATATATATATATACACTTTATGTATATTTTAACATGAGCCTGTGTTACTTTTAACATTCAAACAAGAAAAATCACAGGAAAATATTAACATTCAAAAAAAATCCGAAAGTCTTGAAATCAATGGTAAAGGTCAAATCTCAGTGACCCACTCATCTCCAAGGAAAACTGAACAGAGAAGATGAAAGGCAGCTCACAAAACACGATAGCCAAAAAGTTAATGAAGAAATGCTTACCCACAGTAGTATACAGTAAAAATCCCCTCTCCCTACATTATAAGCTATGTGTAGCTACCTGGAGATGATTCAATTTATATACAAACATACATCCCACATTTTCTTTGTAAGTGGTAGCATGTCGTACATAATGCATCCCATCTTGTAATTTTCATTTGACAATGTATACTGGTGATCTTTTTAGGGGCTGCATGGCATTCTGCTATGTGGATATACCATAATTTCAGAGCAAAATCCTATTGATGGATATTTAAGCTGTTTACCTTACTTTGCTGTTACAAAGAATGCCACAATGATCATTTGTGTTCTCAGGCTGCCATAATAAAGTACCACAAACTGGGTCTTCCCTCTGTGTCTGTGTCTTCACATGCCACTCTCATGTGTCCATACTTCCCTCTACTTACAAGGACACCAGCCATTGAATTATGGCCCTCCCTAATCCAGTATGACCTCATCTTAACTAATTACATCTGCAAACACTCTTCTCCCAAATAAGGTCACATTTCTGAAGTTTTGGTGAACACGAATTTTGGAGGGACACAATTCAACCTAGTACACCATCCTTGTACATTCTTCTTTGTGTTTGCATTAGAGTGTATCTACTGTATACTCATAGAGTACTACCTAGAGGCTACCTGATGGATCAAAGGGTATGTATATCATTAAATTTGGCTGATAGGAAATTGCCTTTCACCTGTCTCAGGCCCACAAATCATACTCTTACCAGGCAGGTATGTTTTTAATCTTCTTTTTTTTTTTTGTGCCAACTCGGCCAGCTAAAACAGTATTTCATTTCAAACTTTCTGATAAATAAATACCAAAACCTTACTCACCTCCTCTTGATTAGAAATTCCACTCCTAGGAATGTATCTTAATAATTAAGGATGGTGGGTAAGATGTTCATTGTTTCACTGCTTATAATTTTAAAATATGGAAGTAACTTGAAGATACCTTAGGAGATCAATTACAGCGTGTTTGTAGGATGAAATTCTTTGCAGTCATTAAAATTCATGTTGTAAACCAGGGTTTTTTAAATTTGCTTGTGAGACGGAGTCCCGCTTTGTTGCCCAGGCTGGATGGAGTGCAGTGGTGCAATCTTGGCTCATTGCAGCCTCTGCCTCCTAGGTTCAAGCGATTCTTCTGTCTCAGCCTCCCTAGTAGCTGGGACTACAGGCACCCGCCACCATGCCTGGGTATTTAGTATTTTTAGTAGAGACGGGGTTCCACCATATTGGTCAGGCTGGTCTCAAATTCCCGACTTTGTGATCCACCTGCCTCTGCCTCCCAGAGTGCTGGGATTACAGGCATGGGCCACCGCACCCAGCTGTAAATCAGGGTTTTTAAACCTGGGCTTATTAAAAATTTTTTGAAATATTTGGAGGTATGCTCACCTTTGTATCTTTTTGTTTGGTCTGAAATTTTTATAAATTAGTATGTATTATTTTAATTGGCATTTTAATTTTAAAATTACCTAATAAATACATGTAGAATAACTTACATAATAAACAAATGTAGAAGAATCAAACTAAACAGTAGAAGTCTCCCCTCACCAGCAGCCCCTTCTCCAAGTCACTCCCCTTCCCAGAAGTAACTATGGCTGGCAGTTTGTTGACAACACTTGTCTTTTAGTAAAATACATTTCATGTATTGCTTTAATTTTTACTTACTCAAGTAAAATTCTAAGAAAATTCAAACAACAAAGAAATATGTGAAGTTAAAAAAATGAACTTTTTTCTTCTCTCCTTAATCTGAAATCTGACTGCTTCCCCTGATACAATCACCTTGAACAAGTTGGTATGTCCCCGCCTGAGATTTTTTTTAATTTTAAAAATATTCTTAATATTTTGGAAATGAAACCAAAAAGTAAAACTACTTTAACAGCAACAAGGGGAAGTGTTTTATTTTTAGTACTTTGAGAACTTTCAAATGCACATGAGAGTAGAGAGGATATTATGATTAACTCTGATACGCTCATTGCCCAGATTTGACAATCAATGATATTCACCTTATTTGTTTCAGCTGTTTTTCCTGCGTTGAATTATTTTTAAGCAAGCCCCAGGCTTCTTGACATTTTATTCCCAGATACTTCCTTAGGAGTCTTAACTACTTAGGGACATTTTCTTAGGTGACCCCAATCCTATAATCACAACTGACAAGATTAATACTCATCACGTATTATCACCCAATACCCAGGCTATGTATTAATTTCCTGATTGTCTCCATGTCTTTTATACAGCTGGCATTTGCAACCATTGCTGCAGAAGTTCCATCCGTGTTTTACCTCTCCTCTGCTTTCTAGTGCTTGTCATGAAATAAGAACAAGAGTGGGTAATAAGTAAATATTTTAAATAATTCAACTAACATTTTGACACACACACACACACACACACACACACACACACACACAAGTCCATTACAAAAGAAAATGGCCAGGACAGTAAGAGCAGCCTTTTAAACATTTTATTTTGAAATAATTTCAGATATACACAAAAGTTGTAAAAATAGGCCACAGTGCTCCCATTTTGCCCTTATGTCACATTTCCCATTTGTGAGTGATTCTGAATTTTAAGTTGCAGACATCTTGGCCCATTACTCCTTGCTATTCCAGTGTCTGTTTCCTACACACAAAGGGAATATACCAGGTAACCACAGTACAACCACCAAAACATGGATGCGAATACTGATCCAATATTAATACAGGATCCTCACTTGCCATTCAAAATTTTCCCTCTTCTCCTTTATATTTTAAAATTATATACCACTACTTACATTTTTCTAAAAGAAAAATAGAACACAAAATCACAAAAATGCCTCTACCTCTGCACTACTCCTCAAATCCAAGTCCCTTGTCCAGAGTTATCACTTAGGCTTTTACCCTTCAGATACTTTTTCTGTGCAACATATACAGGGCTATACCCTCCTCCATTGTTTCTATCCCAACTGGCTTGTCCTAATAAACATATGATTTCTTTTGGAGCTTCCTGTGTGTCCATAATAATCCTATCAACTTAAAATTTAATTTTAATAAATCTAAATTAGAATTTATTTTTTTCTGCCTCTTACAAATAATCCACCACAGACACATTCCACAGCGTGCACACATATACCTAGATGTAGTCATTTCTGTGACTCTTCCTTGTGTTGTGCCTCCATCAACACCCCAATCGCCATTCCTGGTCCATACACTTACGTATTCTCCTATGACTACATAGCAAGGTGACTGCGGAAGTGGAAGAGCATTTTAGATGCTAAAAATACTCTGCCAAACTGCCTCTAGCAAAGCCTTTGAGTCAGCTCTCTTCCCTGAAGCAGGAAAAGACCTGTTTCTCTACAAAGTTGTCAATACCAGGTACTCTTCTTTCCTTTAGAAAGCTAATTTGATGCGCTGGAAATGGCAACTTGATGATACATCTTTTAATTTTTTCCTTTGCTGGTGAAGTTAATCATAACTTTAATTTTCAGGAATTTGAAAGGCTGATACTAAAATAGTTTTTTTTTTTTTTAATTGTAGTGGCAGCTGTATTACACCGTTAATAAATGAGATCTATTTGCATCTATTTCCGTCTGTCCTTTGATGAATGCTAGCACTCAGTTTGTGACTTTAATCTAAAAGAGCCCTCTGTGTTGGAGTTCCTTCATTAGTCACACATTAAAAAATTATTGAGCACCCACTATACACCAAGCAGACACTGTTTTGGACACGAGAGATAAACAGTCTCTTTTCTCATGGAGCTTACATCCTAGGTCAGGCAATAAACATTATTGATGTCGAGTGGGCAGGTCTGGCAGGATGCAGTCTAATGTGTTTATTAATATAGTGGTTTAAAGAGGGTGCAGAAAGGGGAGTTCGAGACAGATAAAAGTGGGGCAAAAAGGTGACAACGGTTATAGTATAGTGATGGGTACTTTGGTACACTTTGAATGTTTCTAACAACACCACAAAATATTAGTGGCATACGAGTGCATTACTGCCTTGGGAGACTTTGTTTGTTTTCTTTTTTTGCTCACTCTATCACCCACAGTGGAGTGCAGGGGCACAATCTCAGCTCACAGCAACCTTCGCCTCCCAGGTTCAGGCAATTATCCTGCCTCAGCCTCCCAAGTAGCTGAGACTACAGGCACCTGCCACCACACCCAGCTAGTTTTTATATTTTTTTGTAGAGATGGGGTTTCGCCATGTAGGCCAGGGTGGTCTCAAACTCCTGACCTCAGGTGTGACCCACGCGCCTCCACCTCCCAAAGTGTTGGGATTACAGACGTGAGTCACCAAGCCCGGCCACGAGAGATTTTTTTTTCTTTTGGCCGGAACACAATTTCCAAGAGTGTCTAGGCCGACACTTCTCCACCCTCCTTTGCCTGTCATTCAAGTCAATACCCTGGAGAAAAGAGGCTGTGGGGAGGCCGTGTTCCGTTAAGAGGTTTAAAAGTTCAGCAAAGTGTGATATGGGATAGGCGTGAAACGGCGACACTGGGAATTAGTTAGTAAGGGTGGCTGCAGCAGGGTGATTTTTATGAGAACATCCGCTCCACTTTTGTTTTTAGGCTGGCACACTGACCTATGTATTATTTAAACAATATATTCACTAGAGTTGACAAATGTTAATCTAGGCGATAATATGCCTGTTAATTTATCTCCACTCTGCTGAACGGTTAACACATTTTTTTTCTTCAATAACAAAACGTTTAACATTAAAAAAAAAACAACTATTAGATTATCATCATTTCATTCTTGTAATGGGGTGAACCCTCCCTCCTTTCTGCCCTAGTCGGAGAGAACAGAGTGCAACCCACTTGCTCTCAGTACCTTCAGCCTCCTCCGCGGCTTCTGGCGCTTCCACGTTCAGAGGTTTCGGCTTCCCAGCCATTCTCTAACGGAGGGCCCGAGCGCGAGGCTTGCTTGATGATTGGTTAAAAAAGAAACCACGTGAGGACGACGGGCTTTCCAGCGCGCTGGTGGGCAGGTTGCGCATGCGCTATCGGTTGACTCAGGAGTCGGCTCTGGGCAGGCGCGCAACGCAATGTCCGGGATCGACCGCACGTGTGCCACAACCTTGAGGCTGTTAGCTCCAACTTTGACAAAAAAGGGCAGAACTAGGGTAGTGGCCAGCGGGGAGTGAGGGTAGTGTGCGCACATACAAAACCCTGGGGAGGTCTCTCCCACTTTAGGCTGCTTGTCTTGTGCAGGCTGTCAAAGTCTGGACAGACGTGCTGTGTGGCGGTACACAGAGTTCCACTCTGTTTTCATTTACAAATCTTCATTAAAGAGTTCATGAGAGAGGGTACTTATCTGTTTCACAGACGAGTAAAATGAGACTTAGAAGCTATGTGCATCTCCTACGTAAAAATGCTGGATTCAGCCAGTGTGCAGTCAGGGTTCCACAGGTGGACACTGGAGGCCACCTTCTCATCAATGTTAGCAGCAGCCAGCATGGAGGGGGGTAATTTTTGGTAGGGTGAAGATGAAAAGAAGTATAAGAAGGGCAAAGGAATATCCCTGTGGGTCTTACTTTTAGACATTTTATATACAGTTTTTTTCTTTAAAATACCCCTAGGCCAGTTCCAAGCACAGTCTGGCCCTGAATTTCCAATTCCAGCACCCCTGTGGGCCACCCTAGAGACCTTCAACAGCCCTGGACACTCAGGGCTGAGATTCAACTGAGATTGACCCCTGAAGCAAGTTTGCAGGGGACAGTCCGTGACAGAGGCCACAGCATCATCCAAGTGGAGGAGGTGAGACAGAGGGAAGGGAGAGGGAGGCCTAAGGATTTTCCTAGATGGGGAGGTACATGACTGGGTGTAGAAAGCAGCCTGCTTGCCTGGTTACTGCCACCATCTCTTTCACTGGCAGGCCCTCAGATCTTGCCCCATTGCCTAGGGAGACAATGACTGGCCACAGACACACCCCCACCCACATTTCCAGGGTGGAGACAGAAGGTAAAAAACAGGTGGTTGCTCCCAGCATTGCCTGGTCTGGGAGCTCCATCTCTCAGAGTCCAGTGAACAAGCCATTATGGGCAGCTTGGTCCGTAGAGGCGGCTGGTGGTGTGGAGTACTTGGGTGGGTAACGAATGAAGAGCCGGTCCTCCTCTTTCTTCACCCAGCGCAGGAGTTTGGTCACTACCAAGATTGCACCTGCCTTGGTCACCAGAGGACTGAGACAGGTATAGAGCTCAAATTTGGAGGTCACCTGGGGGTTTGGGAGGAGACACAGTCAGATGGGCCAGCAGTGGCCATGGAGAATCCCGTCTATCCCAACACAGCTGCACATCTGCCTCCTGCAGCCTGGAAGGTGTACCTGGCAGCACCTCCTGCTGCTAGATACTGGGCTAAGGTAGGAAAGCTGATATTGTTGTGAAATTCATGAGTCAAGGGTCAGCTGGACCTAGTGGCTTCAACTGGGTGATGCTGGTTGTGTGTGGGGGTATCCTCTAGACCTCAGTTTGCTCATCTGGGAACTGGGGAAAGCAGTAACGTTTAATATTCTGCCAGTAACCTACTGTGTACAAGGTCCTGCTCTAAGCTCATACAGCTATGTTTTCATCATCTACAGCCAGGGAATAATATAAAGAGGAACTCAATTTAAGCCACATACCAACTGGAGAGACCTGACCCCACAAGGTCTCTAGCACGTTTCCTGTGCCACCTCCCACAGCTCTCCCCTTTACTCCTTCTGTTCCAGCCACTCTGCTTTTCCTCGCTACTCCTCCAACAGCTGGGCTCAGTCCCACCTCACAGCATATGCAGTCCTTTCCCTCTGCCAGGTGTATTCTTCCTCTTAATATCCATATAGCTCAATACTGCCCCACTCCACTCAGATGCCATCTCCTCAGGGAGGCCTATCCTGATCACTTGGTTTAAAATTCTGGTCCTAACATATCGTGTTTGTTTGTTTGTTTTGAGACGGAGTCTCGCTCTGTTGCCCTGGCTGGAGTGCAGTGGCATGGTCATGGCTTACTGCAACCTCTGCCTGCTGGGTTCAAGTGATTCTCCTGCCTCAGCCTCCTGAGTAGCTGGGATTACAGGTGCCTGCCACCACACCCAGCTACTTTTTCATAGAGACAGGGTTTCACCATGTTGGCCATGCTAGTCTTGAACTCGTGACCTCATGATCTGCCTGCCTTGGCCTCCCAAAGTGTTGGAATTATAGGCGTGAGCCACTACGCCTGGTCCATATCTTGGTTTCTAAATTCCAATCTCTACTGAAACGTACAAGGGCTCCATGGAAAAGTAGCTGAGTTGAGGACCAGAACAGAGAAAGTCAAGTACGACGTACTCACATAGTGAAGGAGATGTGTCATAGAGACACAGGGACCAGCCTGGCTAAATCAGAGTACTCACTGGTTAAATCAGAGGAAATTTGAACACTAAAATAAATTCTAGAAAAGGATTTTACCTCACTGAATTAAAGAAAAATTTATGAGATAATATCGATAAAAATTAAAAATTCAACAAATAGAAGAAAGGAAAAGTTATGGCCCCCCCCCCCTTTTTTTTTGAGATAGTCTTACTCTGTTACCCAGGCTGGAGTGCAGTGGCGTGATCTTGGCTCACTGCAACTTCCGCCCCCCAGGTTCAAGCGATTATCCTGCTTCAGCCTCCTGAGTAGCTGGGATTAGAGGGACGCACCACCATGCCCAGCTAATTTTTGTATGTTTAGTAGAGATGGGATTTCACCATGTTGACCAGGCTGGTCTGGAATTCCGGACCTCAAGTGCTCAGCCCACCTCGGCCTCCCAAAATGCTGGGATTACAGCTGTGAGCCACCACACCCAGCCTCAAGTTATTCTTTATAGTAAAATCCCAACCAATAAATGTAGAAAGAATGATGGAGTTAGAAAAACCACCATCTGGCTAGGCAGCACTTTAGGAAGCCATGGCAGGTAGATCATTTGAGGCCAGGATTCGAGACCAGCCTGGCCAACATGGCAAAACCCCATCTCTAC